TTATTTCATCTTGATATATTTAAATATTTTAAAATAAATATTTAAAAATAAAAATGTGTTTATTTTTGTGAAAGGAGAATTATATTATATATTTTATTTGGCTTTTTTTGGCGGGGGGTACTGAATTCTATACTGCTGTGATTCTTCCCTGTCTTTGTGTATGACACTCTGATTCATGTTTTGACTGCTGACAGAGATTGCAGAGTGGGACTGTTTCTGGGAGAGTGATTTGGCTTTCACTATGTAAACATTGTTTGTATGCCTTAACTAGGGATAGTTAGCATAAGAGATTGCTCCTTTTTCTATGTAAGAGTCAAAGAGTAGCTTTAAAATTCCTACCATAGGCAACATGGTATCCACCTGTGGAAGGTGTGTTGGTGTAACATGGCAGGCCCAGCTGGGGCCTGAATCAAATCTAAAATAACATGGAGGGGTGCACAGATACCTATACCTGGACCTGGAAATGGAAGGGAGTATTCCAATGCATTGTTGAAGAAGAATTGACAGGTTTTGTGAAAAATTGAATATTGATGATAGCTAATCAGGAATTGAATCAACTTCTCAGAATTTCAAGTGTTTAAAGTGGAAATATGCATATTTGGGGGAAGGAATGATTCTACCAAGAAAAGCCACATGGTTTTGAAAAATGACAAGGCATAGCTGGTTTTGCCTTCAATTACATGGACATTGCAGAGTCTGTTTTTTTCTTATTAGATTGCTCCTAAATCAAAAGCAAGAATCTTAACTCTTCTTTCTGAATTTGGATTCTTCCTCCTACAACCTTGCTTGCACTTTCCTGTCAAGCTGTAACTCCCATCTTCACCACCACCCCTGTTTTTTATTGATACATTATAGGTGAATATACTGATGGGATTTGTGGTTACATACCTATACATGCACACAACACACAATACAACAACATAATTTGTTGTAACTTCCATCTCATTGCCTCTTCAGGGCTACTCACTGCTTGAAGCATCCAGCTTCCCAGACCTCTGTGTCCCTGCCCAGCTCTCTTACCCTGCCATCCTCAGGTGGCATTGGACAATGATCTTTTGCTGTGGCTCTTGACTGAAATTGCCCCTTTCCAGGGTCTCTTGGCCTCTCAGCTGCCTTCCTAAAGTCCATCATTCCAGTTCATGTCCTGCTTTTTGCATGAACTCTTTCAATATTTATTTTTTTCTTTTCAAAATAGTTTATTGTTCATGAAGTGTATCTCATTTTGAACTTTTTACCCAATGAAGGCCATATATCATGAAAATTATCTAAAAATTTTAGAAATGTACATTCTAAATCGATTTCATTTTTCTTTCACAAATAAGTTATCCAGGTTCTAGGATGACATACATGGGGGAAAGTCTGCATTTAAATCAATTAATAAGACAAAAGAAATAGATCTTTCTTTCTGAAAATATTCTATGTAATTACTATGCCATTTAAGCCAGAGGAGCTTCTAACTGAAGTTTAGAAATGTTTGTATTTAAATAGCTCCTTTATGCCAACTCACAATAAGCCAGGGTAGTAGGGTGGAGGAGATTGAATTTCAATGGATTAGAAAAAGAAGAATGAAGGGAAGGGAGGTGGATGGGAATAGGAAAGACAGAATAAATCAGACATAAGTTTCCTATGTTCATATATGACTACATAAGCAGTGTAACTCCACATCATGTACAATCACAAAAATGGGAAGTTGTACTCCATATATGTATGATATGTCAAAATACACTCTATTGTCATATATAAATAAAAAGAACAAATAAAAAATTAAAAAATAAATAAGCAAATAGTTCCTGCACATGGTGTCTCTGCATCTAGAGTTCCAGGTTGTCAGATTTGCCCTTTCTTCTTTTTGTCACATGTCCATCAGCCATGGTAGTATGGCTGCCAATGAAGGGCACCATCTGGTCAGCACCCTTCCACTAGCCTCATGGTGGTGCTGAGGATCAGATGCCCTCAAAGCTCCTTCCATAAACTTGTCAGAGTGTCCTGAATACACTGCCCATTGAAAATGGTTCTCCCTTTCACACTCAGAGACTCATTAGGAGCGAATCTGGCTTGCAGTGAGATCTATTTTCAAAGCCAAGTGTTTTCTGAGACTCATCAGTGAAGTGTCAGAGTTGAAGGTTGCTGCCTGGAAAGTGAGTTCAACTGTGGGCCTTTGACATTGAACTTGAGTAATCAGTGGGGCTGGGGGCATTAGGACAATTCATGCAGAAGGGAGAACAGGACAGTCTGTGCAAAAGGTAAGATTCAATTTGCATTTATGATGGCAAATTAGGGCTAGGAAGTCCTTGTGGTTTCAGCTATCAAAGCAATTATGTTTTTGCCAAGATCTGCTGATTCTTTCTGAAATAGATTGAAGCTATGATTTTAACTCTTGAGTGGATTGCTATTGATTTTTATCTAACTGGAAAAATGTATTCCAGAAGTGAAAATTTTTGGCTCATTCAGCTTTGCCAGGGCCTTTCATTTTATCTTTTACAAAAATATGCCTATGATAGGTATCTTCACTACAGCATTATTGAGATACTAAATAGCTGAAGTTGAAAATATTCAACAATTGGGGAGTGACTGGTTAAATAATTTATGGTACATCTTTAGTGTGAAATACTAATCAGGTGCTCAAAATGAGGTCTATCTAGATGAGATGTGAAAAGAAGACCTTGTGGGAAAAAGCAAGATGCAAAAACAAACAAACAAATAAATAAATATGTGTATGTATGTACATATATACACGCATGTATACACATATATACACACTTATGCATTCACCCAAACATATACACACAATGATATTTTTTTGTTCAGAAGAAAATCATGTGTATGTATATAGATTTAATCATAATATTTTGCAGTATTTATTAAATTTTTATTGTTTGATAGCAGTATGTTCAGCATTCATCATATCTAAATGGTCTAATTTAGTTCTCACAACAATGCTATTAAAAGGAAATTATTTTACCTGTTTTATAACTCAAGAAACAACAGCCTAGAAAGGCTAGAAGGCTGACTCTAGGCAGCCTAGTAGGTTAGAGGCAACACTGGGTCACCAGACTCAAAGCCTGCACTTCTAATCACCATGTCCTGTATGTTGTTTCTTAACACTTATTTTCTGAAAGAATATTAAGCTTCCCAGTATTTACTAGGGATGTTATAAGAAACTCATACATGATATGGGTACTGAACTAAGATCCTTCCCAGATCCTTTGCTCACTCTGAATTGGTGGCCAGGCTGCATGAGTATCTGGCATACATTTTTGAAACTATCACTTCTGTGCACAAGACATCTCCTAGCCTTAGTACTTCCCTACCCAGTGATTTTATTCATTTTGGAATTCAAAGGGCAGTCATTGCCTTGTTTTTTGTCTTCTTGCTAGATCTAAGAACTCTGATGAGTGCTTGACACTTGAACTTCATCTTACTCTTCAGGCTAATTTAGAACAGAATGGTGTTACACAGTTCTAACTACTAGGGTAACCTAGGTCTATAGTTCAAATTAAAAATTAGCTCATATTATCTCTAGCTTTGAAACTAATGTACCCCAAATAAATTTACAGAGGGATGATGATGTTGAAATAACTTAAGTACACATGGGAGAGGTCCTGTGTGCTGTCAAGGTTTGTTGTTTAAAGTCCCAATTGGATTCCCCATTTGTCTGTCCCTTCCCAGTGCCCTTTTCCTCTCTGAACTTCCAGCAGTCTTGTGCCTAAGCAATTTAGTTCACTCTTTTTTAAAGGCCTTTGGTCAATATGTGTATGTAGAATCCCTCAGATTATTCCATAAAAGGTCACTTCAACATTGTTTGATTCCCTGGAGGGATCATGCTGGCCAGTTGGCAAAAACCCAAGATTTAGAACACTAGAATTTATGCCAGGAAAACATTCTGGAACATTTATGCCAGGTTTGGGTCAGCAGAATTACTAGTTGGAGCTATTGCCTCCTGCCTTTTGCTTCCCACAGTTCCACCTTTGATGCACAAGGTTGTGGCTGATTGCTTTTTTATTGCATTCTATTGGAAACTGGTTACTCCATCCATACTCAGTCTCTGTGATCTCAATTCTCTATTATTCCATAAGTTGAGGATCTGAAATAGGAGATCTGAAAGTAGGAGACAACGAGACAAGAGATGCTGTCATTTGGCACACAAACTAGTTATAATCCTGTTACCTATTTTTCTGTGTCAAGGCAAAAATAATGTAGGAGTTATATGAACAAGATGTTTGTCAAGTGTGTAGAAGTAAATGCACAGATGTTTACTTTATCCCTGGGAAGTTTTGGGAAACTGGACTCCGATAATTTTCCTGTAATGAATGTGCCTCTCAAAAAACCCTTTCCAAAAGAATCTATTGTTCTCCATTACCTGTTCAGATAATTAAAAAACAAAACAAAAACAAAACAAAACAAAACAAAACAAACCTTGCCTGATATATGCCTGCCAGCTGCTTTGAGAAGTTAATAGTCTAGAGGATTTCTGTTAGCAGAAAAATGTGGACTCAAAAGTTTTCCTTTAAAATAAGTCTGTTATATAATATCACTTCTGGTTCAGAGTACAGGTGTACACTCCTGCTGTGCCCTGAGGAGGTGGTGGGGAGCCTGATCCAGATAAGATGTGGGGGAGGAGGGGGTAGCACCCAACAGCAAAGCCACACCGTGTTGCAATCTAAGCCTAAACCATACCTCTGGGAAAGAGTTTCTTGCTGCTTGTTTGTGTCTGAGTAACCACTGACCCCTTCCCCCTGACCGTCGACCCTCCAAAGTGGGCTATTAACCCTGAAACAACACGGAGATTAGCTGGAGAGCTGAAGGAAAGTCCCAAAGAAGCTTCACTTCTGCAGAATCTAGACAGCTTTCTTCACCTTACATAGACCAGATGCCTAGGGTTTGGGCAACCAGAGCAGAGGACTGAAATTCCTCAAGGTAAGAAGACTCCCCTCCCAGGAAATGGACTCCTCCAATGTTCTCACATGATTATTCATGCACTTTCACTTTTCCATATATAGGAGTCACTCAGGAGCAAGCTCAGACCAGCCGAGGGGAGTGACATATCCTATTCCATCCACTCCCTCCCTCTCGCCCATTCTCACCTTACTTTCACGTGCTCGCTCACTGGGCAGTTAGGCAGAAGTGATCCCTGTGACTCTGCCAAAGACAAGCCTGTGGGTCTGTAGGAAAAACCCCAGGTGAAGTCACAGCACTGAAATTGTTACTTTGAAGGAGTGGAGTAGAAAAGTGTGAAAAATGAATGGACCTGTGGATGGCTTGTGTGACTATTCTCTAAGTGAAAAAGGAGCCTTCATGTTCACATCAGAATCTGTAGGAGAGGGACATCCAGGTAAGTAGGTTGTCCTGGACTGATTGGTAAGTCCTTCATTCCCAGCCTGTACGAAGGTAGCCACTTTTACTAGATGTCTTAAAATAATGTATGCGATTTACTTATTATAAGGTATCTCTGGAGAAACAATATATAATAGTTTTGTAAAACAGTTACTCATTATGAAGTCAAAGGTCCATGCAGTTGCCCGCCACCAGCATCTCAGCATAGTGGGGTCAAGACAGAACAAGCAGTTGGTTATCTATATGTATATGATACATACAAAAATGCACCTTCAGATCTTAACTTTTTATAGTCTTTTTCCCCCTAAAGCTTTAACCTGTTATCAATGTGCATTTTAAGGCAACAGAAGACCATCGATCACTAAGTTTTGCATGTAAAGCATGTGAGGTTAGAAATGAACAGCCCTGCACTCCGCGCAGTGCTGACATAGATTTTCAGTTGCTGAGGGGTCTATTTCATCTTCCAAGAGGAAGACTGATGACTTCCAAGAGGAAGTAAATACAAGCATTGTTTTGGTCCCTGAAAGGTGGGTGGACTTAGACATGGGAAAGTGGGAGAGGCTTCCTTGGTGACAATGAGGACAATGCTCAGATATGCAAAGATTCAAATTATAGGACAAAAGTTGCCTAGCCTTGGGGCATATCAGCATTATTCAAGGGCTTGTTGAAACTCAGGATCTTGGACCCCATCTTCAGAGTTTTAGACTCAGTATGTCTTGGTAGAGGCTCTAGAATTTGCATTTTCAACAAATTCCCAGGAGATGCTGATGGCTGATGTGGGAACCACACTTTGAGAAAGGCGATTCTAGGAGAACTTTGGGGGCTAGACAGATTGATGCATGTATTTAAACACTCCTTCATATCCATTTGAGAAGTTGAAGTGTATGGTAACTGATCACCGGTTCTGCCTTTCCCATCTTCCCTATTCTTGTTCTTTCTCAAAGAAACTTAACTTTCATACCTTGTAACTTGGCTTTGGACATCTTCTTGCAGTAATCCTTCTGTGTGTGTTACCCAGTGGCTTTCAATCAGAAAAAATATTGCTCCCTTTCCCTCAAGATCATTTTTTAATGTCTGGAGACAATTTGGGTTGTCAGAACTATGGGGGTGGCAGGAAGATACTACCAGTTTCTATTAGATAGAGGCCAGACATGCTGCTGAACATCCTGCAATGAATAAGACAATCCCACCGCAACTATTTGGCCCAAAATGTCAATAGTGCAGCTGTTGAAAACCTTGAATTAGATTAATTTGTAGGAGACTTAATTCAATGTAAATAGTTTCTTTCATTGTGCACAACTTTATAGTTTCTAGGTTTACTATACTTATCTTAGGTAAGCTGCTGATATCCAATGTACTCTGCTCAGCTCCATGCCCTATAAAGATCATCTGCAGGTTAGGAGAAACATTTGTTCCACCTAAAGGAAGTGGGTTCTTTGGCATGCAGTGGCCAGTGGTCCCAAGCATGGTCCATTTTACATAACAGTCATGTGCTTCAGTGGACAGAAAATGAAAATCCCCACCAAGCCATCGGTTCTCTTGTCTGCTTAATGACAGACCACCAATCTGTCTGATTCCCCTCTTACTTGCCAAGGTAAATGAACTGTCCAACTAAGTCAGTTTCTTCTAATGTTTGGTGACTTTCTGCTTGTTATTTCAGGGATGAATTCTTCTCCACTAGAAAGATAAAATTCATGTTTCTTGTTCAACTTCCAAGAAAAGCAACTAGTAGCTATTGTAAGCCTTTTGAGTGATACTTGGAGAAATTTTGTAAGCCTAAAAAGACTGTTTTCTGTCAGGCATTATGCTTTCTGTACTGTTATCTCAACAAGCTTGCTGAACTCTGGTTTCGTACCTATAGCAATTGTTTTTCCCCACCCAGAGTGGGACATCTAAGCTGAGTCCTTTAAATAAGCAGAGACATTAATAACCAACCTGTGATAACTTTTTGCAATTTGATGGCCTGAAATCTTAGGATATTTTAGCCAAAAGAGGGCTTTGTTGGTAGGGATGTACAGAGGCTACGGATTTGGACATGCCTGGATTTATAACCAGTATTTGCCACTGGCAAGAAAGAGAAGAAAGCCCAAATATGTTTAGGAGTAGTTTCTAAAAGAGACATTAGAAAATTCACTTTTAATGGCAGATTAACTAATATCTTTAATTTCAGAACTTAACATTTGCTTTTGAGAGCTGAACAACTTGATTCTGGATCTGGATTCTTAATTTAAAAACATATTAACCTATTTAGAGGAGCAGACTCCATGGGTATTTTGAACACTAAATGAGATGTAACATGTGTAAAAAGAGGTCACTTTTATTTCTTTGTGGGTGTTCACAGTTTGCATAACCCCAAAGCAAGAGTAGAGTTTTCCACAATGCCATTTAGTGATCCACCTATTAGACCAGGTAATGTCTTTAAGGCCAATTGTGGAAGAATATGATCAAAACTCAGCCCATGTTGAACCCCTGGTAGTCCTACCTTGACTCAGGTATGAGGACATCTGACGTTCAGGAGGCCAAGAAACCAGAGGAGGAACTGAGAGAAGTTGATGGAAAAGTTCTGTGGAATAGCAATGCTGTACAGTGTGTGCTTGTAGAATTTTTGCAGGTGGAACCATGTACTTGGGGGTGGTGTCTTTTTTTTTCCATATTTTTATTGGTGCACTATTGTGCACTCATAATGTATAGCACAGTGTACAAAAGCCCACAATGGTGGGATTTGTTGTTACATATTCATACATGCACACAATATAACAATACAGTTTGGCCAAAACCATTCCCTGGTATTTCCACTTTCCCTTCCCTCCTCCTTCCTCATTCCTCCCTCCTCCCTCCCATGGTCCTTTTCCTCTACTGATCTCCATTCAACTTTCCATGTGATCCACCCCAATTTCTTTTCCTTTTTCCTCTCTAGCTTCTACATATGAGGAAAACCACATCTCTTGACTTTCTGAGTTTGGCTCACTTCATTTAACAAAATGTTCTCAAGTTTCGTCCCTTTTTGGTGGTATCTTATACATGGTGCATGGCATCTTCTGGAACCCATACAGCCATGCAGCTGTTCTGTCCCATCTGATTTTTTCATCATAGCACCTAATCTTACTGACTGGCATCAATAATAATTTTAACTTCTATTTCTAGGGCTTTTCCATATATTAGAATTAAAGGGAATGTGCCCAAGAATGAGAGATATTTTAGTTAAATGAATGTATGTGTGTGAATTGCCTTAGAGTCTCAAAGAGCTGAAGTTTGAAATGTACTTCATTTTTTAGTAAATGCTATGATATAGTATGTGCCCTCCAAAAAGTAGGCAGAAATGAGAAGAAATAAAAATTTCAAAATATATCTGATTTCTTGTATTTGAAAGTGTTCTCTTTGGCAGGTGAGTTTGATATGTAAATCGACCACCTCAAATTATTTTAGCATGTCAGTTTGTTAGACCTATTATTTGTGTCATTCTCACTCATGTTTATTCTTATTCAGATAAGATCTGCGACCAGATCAGTGATGCAGTGCTGGATGCCCACCTCAAGCAAGATCCCAATGCCAAGGTGGCCTGTGGTAAGAGACCACATCCCTTTCTGCCAGAGACCTGAGTGGGCTGCATTGAGGGTCTTAGTGGGCATAAAATCATAGAGTCATTCTCTTGAGTTCCAAAGAGGTGTCTGGTCTGCAACAGATTTCTTTATCCCATGATATTCTGTGTATTGAATTTTTCTGGAATACATTCATTATTCCCCTCTCCATACTGTGAGAGGTCTAGGTACTTGAGCTTCCTCCAGGGCCCATGGCTGATAACCTCTCCCCTTCCCATTCAGAGACAGTATGCAAGACAGGCATGGTGCTACTGTGTGGGGAGATCACCTCAATGGCCATGGTGGACTACCAGCGGGTGGTGAGGGACACCATCAAGCACATTGGCTATGACGACTCTGCCAAAGGTGAGGGCGGGCCCCTGGGTCTGGGATCCATGTTGGTCTCTGCAGAAAACACCCCCCTGAAGCTGTCAAATCTGAGCTTTCAGTTTTATGTAAGTACAAACCCTGCTAGAAGAAAAAAAATCCTTTCCTAGACCTATCTGCTGGGTTTCAGGTGTCAAAGGCTCTGGTAAAATTATGAAAGTCTGACTGTGTATGACATACCTGGTGGAACCAGCATGTGGCTGTCCATTGTTGACTGGTGTCATTTGAAGTCTTAATTCTTGCTGCTGGCAGATGCTTTGGAAGAAAAAGAAGCACAGAAAGGAGGGAGATGCTCTCTGCTGAGAATGTTCTCTGCTAGGCAGTGGTGCTACTCTTTGCATCATTTGTCTTCATCCTTTCTGAAATTCTTATGCAGATGGAGACTTAGGGACTTACCTAAGGTAACAAAGAGAAAGGCCACCAGGTTTGAAATCCCTGTTCTTTCCACCAAACCATGCTTTCCCTCATTATAGGCATGGAGAAAGATGTCTTGGTCCAGAACTAGGCAGGTGAAGAAGACAGGAGGGCCCGGGTTAGCCCTGGTGCCAGATGGTGCAGAAGCCAAAACCCAGGATAGAGGCACAGGTCCTAGGATGGAATTGAGGAGAAGCACCAATATAACCAGGTGAGGGGGAAAGCTTGGAAGAAATGAGAGCCTGGAAGCAGATCCCAGTGTCTGAGCTTGGGCGGCCAGAGAGCAACACGGCCTGAAGGTACTTCAAAGGCCCCAAGTATGAATGCTGGGTACTGAGGACTTGTGTACAGCACCATTCCATGGGCACTGCAAAGGCTGTTTATTTAAGCTGGCCTCCTGTGAAGAGCACTGGGCTCCAATTCTTAGAGATTCTGTGATAGTCCCTGGTAGTACATATTTAGACAAGTTCAGTTTTTTTAAAAGAAAAATTCCTTTTGAGTCTTTATTGGCTTGGTTCTCATTCTCTGGAGTCACCATGAAAAATGTAGTGATCTTAGGCAATGGCAAGAAGGTCCATTTTCAGAACAACCTGCTGATACTCAGACCTATAATCAAGACTCACAAACAGGACCATGACTGTTGAAAGATGCTTATTTCTGCATCTGTCACATATTGATTGTTTGTGCCTCTGTCACATCTTTGTGGGTCATGGAGGAGAGAGATGCCCATGTCCAGAGTTTATAAGTGAGAGAGCCAATCACAGTATGAGACACTCAGTTCAACCATAGTCTGACTTGGCCCAAAGCATTCATGAGCAATGAAGTCACTAGAATGCATAAGTGTTTTCCACGAATGTGTCAAGAATCACTGGAAAGAAAAACAAGGCTTCAAATGAGTTTCCCCCATCAGGACATGAGGGTATTCATAGAGGGGAGGCATTGTTCTAGAGCAGCAGCTTCCTGAGACGTTACCATGCAGAACCTTCCTCTTTGTACCAGAAAAAGCCAATTTGTGTATATATATTTAGACCTTGTTCAAGAGCAAACCTTGTTCTCTGTAGCAGAGAAATTTTCCAGGAGGTAATGTCCCCCAGTAAGAGATAAGTGAAAGAGCACCCAGCTCTGGCTAAGTTGGGCTCAGCTGGTTGAGTTTCCCTTACCCAAGCAGGCCCATGGACTTGTGCCAGATGGCCCATTGTGGATGGTGACAGCCACCTTGGCAGGGCCAGCTGCTCCTTACACAAAGGGGAAGAGCCCTTTTCAAACTCTTCCCCTCTCCCTTTGGTTTTAAAATTCTGCTTCCCCAAATCTTTTGAAGCCCTTGCTTGGTTTTTGGCACTGGGGAGAGTTATTATTTAGACAGAAAGTAATTAGGTAAAATACGAAATGTCTAATTTGAAATGAGGGAGTCCTTTCACAGCTCTCTAAAAACTGGCCATTGATTTGTATGCTCAATGACAGTCACTGGGGAAAGAGGGGTGCAAAGGGCAAAGATGACCTGATTTCCCGTGGTGAAGGGACTGCCTGACCTCAGATGACATCACTGAGAATGCAGAGTCTGTGGCATAGTAAACAAGGAGTGAGCCAAACTTGAAGGGTAAACACCCAGGGACATTTGCTGAGAGCCAGTAGGGTTTGGGCATGTGTGTGGAGGGGAGCATTGCAGGCAGAGAGACCCAATAGAGGTGGAAAAGCATGTCGTGCTGAAGACTAACCCTAAAGGATTTCCCACAGCAAGAGTTCTGTTGAACAGAGGCGTTTTCCATTTTATTCTCTGGTGGGAGATCCCCACCTGAGGCTTGAACATAAACAACATAAGTTGGCATTGTGAGTAGGAGAACAGACTGGAAAGGGGATGGCTGTTGGGGTTCTGGGAAAGAGAACTCATGGTGAGCATCTGTGTTTAGCTCCTCATTCTGTGAGGGCCAACTGGGAGAGGAACATGCTTTTCACACCTAGCAGCTTCCTCCAGGGCTATCTGCAGTGGGCGACAATTTGCGAGACTTCCTTGCACCAGCACCCAACACACTGGTCTCACCCAGCCTCCAACTTTGTGCCTCAGCTTTGCAGACAGGGGCCTTGACCCCAAGGGTATGGTTTTTCCATTTGCTGCTGGCCCCGTGAACATTTCAGAATGAGAGAACCAGGGCTCTGGGAGTCTCTCTACACTGGTTCATCCACACTGTATTTTTTCAGTAATTTCATACTTGGGTTAGGCTCCTGAGCTTCTGAATGACAGTTAAGGCCCTTGATTTTTCATTCAATGCAGTGATTTTCATACTGGGTACTGATGACGCCTCTGGAAAAACCTAAGGCCTAGTGTCACTAACCTGTTTATCAGCCACTGTCACCTGGTTTTTATGCTGCAGTTCCATGTAAGGTATACTTTTTAAACCAAGGTATAATTGAATACAGTAAAATGTACCGTGGAGAATTTTCTCTGACAAAAGATTGCGTGGAGAAGACACATGGCCTCTCCACACTATCCTGGGTGGCAGCTGTGAACCTAGGTAGACCCCTGTTGGTTAGAGATCATAGACCCCTTCACAAAGGGCCATGTCAAGGATGAGTAGTCTACCAGGAAGCTGGCAACCCCTGTCTCTCTGACATGTGTCCCTTCTGCCTAGGCTTTGACTTCAAAACCTGCAATGTGCTGGTGGCTCTGGAGCAACAGTCCCCAGATATTGCCCAATGTGTCCATCTAGACAGAAATGAAGAGGATGTTGGTGCAGGAGATCAGGTAGGTCAACATTGTGGGAGCTGTGTGGGACATCACTCCAGTGATCTCACTCTTGGATCAGACTATGACATGTGTGGCTTCAAGAGAAAATTCACAGGCAATGGATTAGTTGTACTATCAGGCAGACCCAGCATGCTGCATGAGAGTTATAGGGGAACATGCCCGGAGTGACTTGGACATCCCTGCTTCATGGCAGTGACTTCAGGGTATGGCCATGTTGTGTTGTGAAAGGCTATGATTGTTCATATCCCTTAGGTTTTTCCAGAGCCCCCCCAGTACCCAGTTTGAAAAATCACTGCATTGAATAAAAATCAAGGGCCTTAAATATCATTTAGAAGCTAAGGTATCTAACCCAAGTATGCAATTACTGAAAAAATACAGTGGATGAACCAGTGTAGAGAGACTCCCAGAGCCTGGGTTCTCTCATCCCACCCCCTCCTACAGTGCTGGGGACCAGGGATGATGTCTTTCCCTTCAAAAATGCCCAGTGCAAAGTGTTCCATGAGTGAGGCATCTAATAATGTTGAAGCACTAGTGAAATTTTAGATTTGGAGAAAACCATGGTCCTGTTGGTCTAAGTGGGTGTTGCTTATCATTCCCTGATGTTCGGCTGCAGGGTTTGATGTTTGGCTATGCCACTGATGAGACAGAAGAATGCATGCCCCTTACCATTATCCTCGCTCACAAGCTCAATGCCCGGATGGCAGATCTGAGGCGCTCTGGTGTCCTTCCCTGGTTGAGACCAGACTCCAAGACTCAGGTGAGCTGCCTCTTCAGCCCTCCACAATCTGGGCACTCAAAGAATTGTCCACTTTGAAAAGAATTACTTATTTGAAAACTCTTCCATTGTAGATGTACCTCCCTGTCTGTCTCTCCCCCTATACAAAAACATTGTTCAAATTGTTCTAGATTTTCTTTCTTTTTTTTTTTTTTGCCTTGCTGTTATATGTGGATTCCCCACTTCCCGTCACAAACTTATTTCTTAACCATTCTCAGACATATGGGTCCCTGCCTTTGCACATGCACAGGTCGCCACATCTTGGGAAGGCTGTCAGTTCCGCCTGGGTCTCACTGTGGTCCTTTTACTTATCTTTGTTCAATAAAAGGCCTTTACCTGCACTGCCTCCAGAGCCAACCCTGTGGGCCCTGGCCTCTCTCTCCCTGCTGTGTTGAAATCTGTCCTGCAGTCCCTATTTGAAGGTCAGCGGTGATGCAAGCATTAGCACATGTGGTGAAGGCCTCCTGTTGCCCTTGAGTCCCCATGGCTCCTCCCTGTTTAACCCTGATGACCCCAATGACTGTTTTCCCAGTGGCCTCCTGCACTGGCTCCCTTCCACATTCCAACATGTCATCCCCCAAAGTCTTGGCACCTCTTCCTCCATGTGCTCCCTCCCTCTGTTCATGCTTGTGGGTCCCACTTGCCCCTTCACATGCTCAATGCTCACATCTGCCCACCTGCATGTCCCTCCAGATCAAGAGCCCCATTTCTCACCCTGAAAGCCCACTGTGTGTGGCCCATTGTCACCTGTTTCCAGTTCTGTTCAGTGCCTTCTCTGTCTCTACCCTACCTGTGTCCCGAGACTTTCCCTGCGGAACATCCCCTGGTCCAGCCCACCTGATGACAGAGGCTGCCCCCTGCCTGCATCAGCGCCCTCCCTCCCAGAGGCTCTCCCTGCTTAGAAACTCCTACAGGCTTCACTTCAATTTCCTGACATCCCTTCAGTGTTTTCAATAAGTTTCTGCTTTCTTCCTATGGGGGAAGGAGAAATCCAGCTGTCACTTTGGCATTCAAATCCTCGCATGTTCTTAGAACTTCACCTTCCTTTGCCCATGCCTACCCCATCTTTGCTCAAGTAGCACCATTTCCCTCAGGTTCTTCTTGTGGCTTAGTGCTTCACATCTGTGCTCCTACCTTTTGCCTTCCTCTGGGTCCGTCACTTGCCTACAAGTGGCCAACAAAGTTGCCATCTCCTCCTGCATGCCCTGGCTGGTCACCACAGACAGCACCTTCCTGTGCTTGGAATTGGCACATGTGGTTTCATAGTTCAGCATGGTGTGTGTGGCTCTGTCCTGTTACTCCAGTGGCCCAGAGACACCTCCTTCTCTCTCCCATATGTGAGGCCACACACAGGGCAGAAGTATCTAGGGTCAAGAAGTGTGCTCACGGCCAGAAGAAAGCCCTTCTTGTGCTATCCACATGGCCCTCAAGGTGGGAGGTGGGATCACCACCCTCTCTCTCATTGTTGTTCGAGGCCATGGAGCAGGAGAGCTAACACAGATTTCGATAGCACTGAAAGAAAGGGACACAGAAAAGTTGTCATGCCCTCAAATGGTGCTATGATTTAGAAGCAGGATGGAGATTCACAGAAAGGAAATTCCAGAACACGGATGGAAGGAAGTCAGTGGAACTGACTGGACTTTCCCTTTTTGGGAGTGAGAGTGAGCAATGGAGGATCCACCTCTCTGGCTAGCTGAAATAAGAATAGCCTCCCTTGTTTTGTTAGATAAAAAAATAGAAAGTGTCCAAGTCTAGGGTCATTGAGGAAAATGGGGAGGATGACTCTTTTAGGGCTTCCCTTCATGTGAGCATGCACTGAATTCTCTTAAGATGCTATTATAAATTCCAGGGTCTGCCTCACTCCCACAGATGGGCTGTGAGCCAGCTCCAGTTGGAGGGTGTAGGTTGGCCAGTTGGTGCCCTGTCTAGCCCCTTGGAGGGCATCGAGTGCCTGGCTCCCTCCTGGTGCTCTCTTGGTGCAAATGGCACTGTGCCAGTAACCGGTTACAGGCCTCCTTCTATATGCCCTGTTTGTAAAGGATTTTCATCATGTAACCAGTGTTGACTGTGAACAGGATGAGTCTTTCCACCTGAACAAATTCTTGCTGCTGATACTGAGAACTGGGTGGCAAGGTGATGGCTATTTTTGTACCTGGTCAGAGCTATGTTTTCCACGGTGTATTTTTCCCCATATCTTGCTGACATGAGGAGATAAGAGCAGTGCTTAGATCCCTCTGCTCTGCCACCTAGTTCTGCCACTCTGCAAGGACACTGCATGTGGTTTGCCAGGGTGAGGGGTGGAGTCCTCCAGGGGAGCAGTGGGAACAGGCCTGGGCAGCTCAGAACCGATTCTTGTTCTAAGGCTCCATAAGCATATCTGGTGCGAGAGCCTGCCCCAGAGTTTTCTGTCTTGGGAAACCCCACCCTTCAACACCCTCTTATGGGACCCCATGTGTGGACAGCTGAGGTTTTAAGGTTAGTGCTCGATGTCTGTGCACATCTTCCCATCTCGCTAGTGTCAGGCATCAGGTGGGCCAAGGCTTTTGCTCTTTTTTCTTCTGGATCCCACTCTTTAGCTCTTTAGACCAGGCAGGAAACAGAGCAGGAGTCAGCATTTGATGGATATCTGAGGTGCCACAGGAAGGTAGAGACATTGCTATGGGAACATAGCATGCTTGCTGCCCTATGGTCCTGAATAGGCCCTCAGGTAGGAAGCAGTCCTATGCTATGGGCCAGTGTCCATCCCAGGGTTATCCAACATAGGTGTATCCCTGCAGGCATCTCATGCCTTCAAGTCCTATGGGCATCACTATTATGGGTACACACTGCCTTAAGCAGGGTTGGTCTAGCTCATGCTTCAGATGTCTTAAGTAGCAAACTTCATCTGAAAAGAACCCTGGACATCAGGCCATTCAACTCCAAATTAGACCTTTAGCTCTTGTGTGTGACCTTGACCAAGTCTCTTACATTCTGGAGCTTTGGCTTTCTAGTCTGTAAAATGGGGTAGTAACAGCTTCTCCTCTTTGGCATGGCTTCTAGCATGCCATACATACTCAACCAATGCTCATTTCCATTCCCAGCCTCATCTGCCATCCTCACCACCTCCTTTTCACTCACTCTGAAAACCCAGGGTGCCCAGGATGCTCTTCTTTGTCACCAACAGACATGCATCTGGGACATCAGGCTCCTGTACTCAGTGATGAGTCAGTAAAGGACAGGGGTCTCTGTAGAAGCATTTTATCTGTACTGCAGTGGGAATAACATGAGATTTTGGCTCATCCTGAGCAGAGTTTGGCTCTTTGGCCCTTCATAAACAGACATCACACATATGGTTTCCCTTCCATTGCTTTGTTTTTCTCATTTGTGATGTCTTAAACACGAATTGATAATGCACAGGATGAACACAGAACCAGCCAATCATGGTGGAAAGGAATATTAGATTTGTGCCTGTGGCCTGCCCTGCCCGGGCACCATGTGAAGACTCCTTCCCTTCAGGCCCCTCAGCCCCTCCCTTCTTTTGGCAAAAATACAAGGTGCAGGCAGTCCAGAGCTTGCTCCCCAGTCCATTTCAACCCCCTGTCCAGGATCCTGCTCATGTCATCACTATAGCAGGCAAGTCTGATGGCCCCAGACACTCCCAGGGCTCCTCCATTGAGGGTGCTGGGGCCACTCATCAGACTCCTCCCTCTGTCTCAGAGGCTCTTGATGCCAAAAGATGTCTCTCTGGCCAAAGCCTTCTCTTAAACATTCATAGCCAGGGGCCAAGATATCCCTGTTCCTGCCACTGACATATGGCCTGTGGATTCCTGTAGTCACTGGTAGTAGCAGAGATAATTTGCCCCAAGGACATGGAGGGTCAGAAGAGAGCTTTGGCCAGAGAGACATTTGTTGGTGTCCAGAAACCTCTAAGATAAAAGAGAAGAAGTTGCTTAGTGGGTCCCAGCTGCAACTCAAGTTTTTAAGTCATGCTAATTGTGGTCACACATGGGAATAGCTATGCTGTATGCTCCATTGTACATAGTACCAGGGAACTTCAAACATAAAGACATGTTAACTTTCTGGAGGCCCTTTGCAGGCAAGAGGTCCCACTTGATCCCTGGGATACCTGCCTGCCTGCTGGATATCTGCCTGGAAACCAGGTGCCTTCAGCTCAGGCCTCAACCTCACCATGCCTCCCCTGCACTTCTTGTGAACAGGTGACAGTTCAGTACATGCAGGACAATGGCGCAGTCATCCCTGTGCGCATCCACACCATCGTCATCTCCGTGCAGCACAATGAAGACATTACGCTGGAGGACATGCGCATAGCCCTGAAAGAGCAGGTGATCAAGGCTGTGGTGCCAGCCAAGTACTTGGATGAAGACACCGTTTACCACCTGCAGCCCAGTGGGCGGTTTGTTATCGGAGGTCCCCAGGTGAGCTGGGTCTTGGGTTACTGAAGTTGCTTATGTCTATAAGCACACAGATGGTTAGAGATAGCTTTGAGTGGCTCAGCTAGATATGGCTGCAGAAAAGAGGTAAAGTCAGTATATTTTATATTTAGGGGCACTCTGTGGGGGCCTACTGTGTATCTGTCAGTACACCAGAAATGTGCAACTTGTCTTTAGGAGTTTCCCGCTTAGCGCTGCCTGACCCTTCCACTCTGGCCATCTCAAATGCCATTCTACCTTCCACAGCTGCCACTGCCTCTCCCTGCTGGGGCATGCATCCTCGCTGTGGTGCCTGCTCATGGCTGACCCCTCCACTGTGGCACTTGCTGGTATCTACCATGGCTGCCTCCAGCTCTCGTAGGCAATGTGGTGGGATGGGGTTTTGAGTGGGGACACCTGCTGCCTGCTTTCCCCTGAGCCACAGGAGTGAGGCGGTGGAGATTGGCAGAGTACCTCTGAGAGGCAGCTGACTGCTGCAGCTTCCAGAGGACCACAGATGCCTTGCCACAGGGGTGAGCCCCATATCAGGCTCGGGGAGCAAATGTAGTGGGGAAACACAGGGTAAGAGAAGGGTCAGGCTTACTGTTCATTCTTGCAGGACTTCTCAAAAGCCTGGACACACCGATGTGAACTGTGGATGTCCCAAAGGAGGGTTAGAGAAAGCAGACTCTCCCCAAATGATTTTACATAGATCCTTCACCCTTAAAAGGCATTTTTTATTGACTGATGCTGCACAGGACACACTTAGGACGTGGGCAACATGGCATTTCCTTAGCCAGGGTCATAGCCCAAAGTTACATTTATGGTGGTAATATTCCTATCTGCTTTTGGATTTCTCCTTATGATGGACCCAGAAACAAAAGCAGGGGGCATGGGGTGGCTGTGTCCCCAGGCAACTTCTGGCTCATCTTTGGTACATTATAATGAGATTTTGACCGGTTACCCGATTCCCAAAGCTGGTCAGTGACAAAGCAGACAAAAGCCTGAGGTTTCTGGTTAATTACCAGCCAAGGAGTCTTTGAGAAATCCCTGCAGATGACTTCCTTCTTGAGGACTTCCGCCCCTCTCCAGTCATTCAGGGTTCTGGTTCTCATCTCTTGCATTTTTTTCCCTCTGCAGGGGGATGCAGGTGTCACTGGCCGCAAGATTATTGTGGATACCTATGGCGGCTGGGGTGCTCATGGTGGCGGGGCCTTCTCTGGAAAGGACTACACCAAGGTGGACCGCTCAGCAGCTTATGCTGCCCGTTGGGTGGCCAAGTCCCTGGTGAAAGCGGGGCTCTGCCGGAGAGTGCTTGTCCAGGTAGGCCACCCCCCTCCCACTCTGACTCCACCTGTCGGTCCCTGTTGATGGCCCTGGTCCAGGTCCACCCTGAATAAGATGTTCAGAAAGCTACACATTTGCGAATAGTTGTGACTTTGTGTCGTGGGTTGGGCGGAGCGGTCAGTGCTCTGGAAAGCTGAGGGAGGCAGAACAGAAGTGTTCAGGGAGATGAGCATTACAGAAGGGGACTTCATGAAGACAGTGGGGGCTGCTGGTAAGATAAAGTGGCAAAACCCATGGGGAAGGAGAAGTGTGGTCCCTTGGCCTTGGCCAGAGGACATCTCTGTAAGAAGCTTCAGTCACTGAGCCTGGCCTTTTTGGAAGGTGTCCTATGCCATTGGTGTGGCGGAGCCACTGTCTATTTCCATCTTCACCTATGGAACCTCACAGAAGACAGAGAGGGAGCTGCTAGATGTGGTGAATAAGAACTTCGACCTCCGACCAGGCGTCATTGTCCGGTAAAAGTGCTGGGACCCTGCCCCTCCCTTGCTCAGATGTTCAGCCCAAGGAGGAGGTCTTGGCCCAGCACCGTGCACACCCCCATCACGGAGTGTCTGGTTTTCAGATGGAAGGAGGCTGCATGAGATCCCTGCTGGCCCAGCAGATGCTAACTGGAGTGGGGCCATCTTTGAGCAGCTGGGGGAGCGCAGAAAAGTTATTGTAAGGCAAAACAGCTGGGAACTGAGTAGGCAAGTCCTTTCCCACATGCTCTCATCTCTCATGCTATTCCTGTTTTCTGGAGCTTGGTCCAGTTGACATTGGCTTGGGCCAGTCTAGTGGAGTTGAGTAAAGAGGAGAATGGCAGAGTTCAAATCCTGGTTCCTGGTGCATCTGTGTGCTCAGCTGTCTCTGAACATCTGAGCTTCCATTTCCTAAGCTGTGGAGCAAGATAGTGCTGAGGCTTACGTACCGCATGCACATGGGTGGCGAAGCCATACAAAAGGCCTGCTCATGAATTGCTCTTATGCTTGTATTCAAAGAAATTCCTTTTCCATTTATAAATGACCTTTTCTTCTGACAAACATGCAGGGATTTGGATTTGAAGAAGGCAATCTACCAGAAGACGGCATGCTATGGTCATTTTGGAAGGAGCGAGTTCCCCTGGGAGGTTCCGAAGAAGCTTGTGTTTTAGAGCTGGTGGGAGCTGGGCCTGGCCTCACCCTGGATGCTCCTCTTCTGCAGAATCTGAACTCTCACATCTCCCAGACCCTCCTGGGGTGTGCCTTCCCCACCCACCACCCCTTAGGGCAGAGTCAGCTCCCTCTAATTTTTGGTCCATCCTGTTATCACCATGAATGGCAGGGGGCAGGTGGCTTCCTGGTGCTGCAGGTCCAGTTTCCTTGTGAGGGTAGTCACGATGTTCCCCTGTCTGTCCCTCAGATAAGGTCAATGTTGATTTAGTGGGAAGATTCTTCCTTTCAGGAGTAAAGTTCCTCACTCACCTCTTCCCAGAATCTAGACCCTGGCCAGCTCCTCCACCCTGGGTGTATGCTCAGGTCAGTTCAGTATACACACCTTGGGATCCTTGTGATTCTGGGCATATTGGGCCTCCCCTCCACATCTGCACCTGCCCTGCTGAGCCACAACCTTTGCAAACCCCCTACATGGCTCGGTGTCTGCTGTGGATAACAGGCTGATATCTCCTGAGCATCTGAATGTGTGAGGATCCAGCTCAGTACTGACCTCACATATTCAATCCAGCAACATGATGAGGTAGCCCCCTTTTATTATCCCCATTTACAAAGAGGGAATCTGAGGAGCAAATTCTTTCACAAGGTCTCACAGCCACACGTGTCAGGGCTTAGATGTGATCCGAGGATCTTTGACTCAGTAGTCCCTCCCCCATCTCTGGCCCTTGTGCCTTCTGCACTCTGAGTGCTGCTAGAGTAGGTGTGCAGGCCCCTCAGGGTCCCCTTCCAGGGCTAAGGCCAAGACACCCAATGTTAAATAGTGATCCAGTGCAGGGCTTGTCTCCTGGTGGTGGACTGGTGGCCTGAGATGTCATGAGGAGATTCTGCCTTTGCTAAGGTAGCTTTTGGGGGACACACTGGCTCCTTAAAGGGCCTGGGAGGTCCTTGGACCCCTGAGTCTTTAAAGCTACTTGTCCCTCTGCCTTTCCATCCATGGCTGGCACTACTCACCTCATCCATCCTCAACCTGGATTGTACACAGCAAACCTCCACCTTCTCCCCAGCTCCCAAGGATTCAGACTCAGGAAAGGGCTTCCTGGGGACACAGCACTGGATCTGGCTGGGAGAGACAGCCCAGGAAGCCTCATTTAGGGAGCAGATGCCCTGCTCCCTTGTACCTTGGGGAGCATAGAGACCCCAGCACTCTCAATTGAGGGAGGGAAAACTCTGCAGAGGAGATAAAATACAAGCCCCAGTGGTCATTAAGCCTTTGAGCTAGTGAGTGACACAGAAGCTGGAGTCTGTCCATAGGGATCCCGGCTGCCTCACCACCCTCGAGTCTCTTGCAGCAGAGGGAGGGTCAGGATTGCAGGTAATCAAGTTCCTCTAACTTGGGCTCTATTTGGATTAAAAATTCAAAATTTTAAACTTTCCCTATCCCCTAGAGAAACAAGATCTTTTTTGGCCAACATTGTTTATATAAAAGTAAACCATTTATTTGTTCATAGTTCCTATTACGGTGGTGAATAAAAACTCATTAGGAGCAATTACCCTATGCTTAGTTTTTGTCTGCAAACCCCAGAGCTGCTCTCTCCATGAAGTAATACCTGACTTCCCCATCCCCAGGGAAGTTGGGTTCTGCCCTTGGGTTACCCTAACCCAGGTCTGTGTAGGACCCCGACTCCACCATGGACTAAGGTTTACTCATGGGCCAGCTCCTGTGTTGAGTCATTGTGTTGACTCCCTGCATCTCTCTGAAGTAGACATCCTTATGAACCCCATTTTACACATAATAACCCAAGGACCAAAAAGTGTTGGGAGTATGAGAAGGGCCCTAGGCTGGCCAGTGGCTCCTCAGTCTCAGAGCATCTCAGTCCTTTGACCATACTCATGGTTGCCTCTAGTCTGCGTCTGTGTCTCCTTCTTCCACCTTACTTACTTTGCATTACCCACAGTAAGGTTGGCAGAAGTTAGGCCACATTAGTCAAAAGGTTGAGTAAGGCCCAGCATGGTAGCACAAGCCTGTAATCCCAAAGGCTGGGGAGGTTGAGGCAAGAGGATTATGAGTTCAAAGCCAGCTTCAGCAATGGCGAGGAGCTAAGCAACTCAGTGAGACCCCGTCTCTAAATAAAATAAAATGCACACACAAAAAAGGGATGGGAATATGGCCCAGTGGTCAAGTGTGTGGGTGAAGGGGTGTGGTCTGCAGAGAGAGGAGCCAGACCTTCTAGTGGGTGCACATTTCCTTTTCCCATATTCTCAACTATGAAGAGCATAACCAGTTGCTGCAGGAACCCCAGCCATGCAGCACTGGAACTGGGAGTTTCCCACAAGCAGCTGGTCTAGGAAGGAGTCAGCTCTGGGACACAGGTGGAAGGCAGATCTGTGTGGCCCTTCCCCTCACTGAGGAGGAAACTAGGTACCAGGGAGGGAGAGATACAGCAGAGGCCCGGGACCATGGTGGAGAAGAGAGCAGAAAGGCAAGGGCAAAAGACAGGAGGCCCTCGGTCTTGTGTGAGGGAGATTCTGGGCCTGGAAAAGCCACTGCACAGGCCATGAAATGAGATCTTGCACATGACGAAAAATCATACCCATTTTGCAAAAACACATGGGAACAGAAAAACCCTTTGAAATGCATTGTAATGATTGTGGAAGACGGGCTTTTTTGGGCCGAAAAGGCAAAATAATTATTGGAAACAACAGAGTCAGCTTCTGAGCCACGGAACTCTCAAGTGTCAAAATGCCAGGGAAATGAAGAAGTAGCAAAGGAGGGTAGGAAGGAGTGACCAGCATGGGAGGTCAATTCTAAGTGTGCGACGAGGCTGTCATTCCTTTGCATACCTTCCCAGGCCCACTTCTCTGCCCACAGTCTGAGTTCTGTGCCACCGCATCTCACTCCAGACTCCTTGGCTTCTTTGACTTCTCCAAACAGGCCAAGTTCATTTCTGCCTCAGGATCTTTGCTCATCATTCTGTTATGGATGCTTCCATCTTATCCTATAGGTTTTGGATGAAATTTATGTTTCTGAAAAACTACTCCATTCATTTCCAGGGTCTTTTTCAGTGTTCAACACTATATGCCAAAATATATTTCCTTGTTTAACTCCCTTGGGGTCCAACCCCCTCACAGGACCCTTCCATACCTGCCCAGCCTCCCTTCTTTTCTTCACATGCTAGTTCTTCTGATTGTTTTCAGTCTCAGCTTACAAATCAACTTGCAGAAAGATACTCCCAGATACCCTCCATAACTTATGATGTTCAACCCCATCTGTATTAGTCAGCTTTTCATCACTGTGACCAAAATACCAGACAGGAACAATTTAGAGGAAGAAAATTTTCTTTTGACTCATGGTTTCAGTCAATGGTCAGCTGGACCCATTACTCTGGGCCTGAAGTGAGGCAGAACATCATGGGTGGGGGGAGGATGTGGCAGAGAACAGCTGCACAACCCAGGGCAGCCAGGAAGCTGCAGGACAGGGGATGGGGCTGGAGAGAAGATCAGCTCTTCCAGGACCCACTTCCTCCAACTGAGTCTCACCTCCCAGTGGGTCCAATCAGCCATCAATGGGTCAATCCACTGATGATGTCTAAACCCTCATGATCCATCACTTCCCAAAGCCCTACCTATGGGCATGGCTATACTGGGGGCACATGAGACTTTGGGGCATATTCCAAATCCAAAGCACAACACCATCTTTATCTGACACTAAGATATCAAAGATTATAATTATTTTTAAGTAACCATTTTATTATTAATAATGATATTATGGCAGTAATAATAGCTCATACACAGATGATTTATGAAAACAAGAAAACTTTTTTTCCTAGTTTTATTGAGGTATAATTGATAAATAAATATTGTATATGTTCAATGTGTACAATGTAATAATTCAATACAAGGTGTGATGATTGCCATAACTAAGCTTATCAATGCACCATCACCACATTTAGTTTTACTCCAAGTTAATTCTTTACCAGTGTTAGTGCTGGCTTGTTTATGACTGTTTCCCCCATAGGTCTTGGTCTTCCCTATATCTATTGTGCCCTCTCTTCTCTCTCTCTCTCTCTCTCTCCCCCCCCCCCCTCGTCTCTCTCTCCTCTCTTCATTTCATTCCTGGCTCTAGTACAGGGCCTGGCATAGAGAATGTATTTGATGTAACTATGGCCACCTTAGAGAGTGAATTTGAGATGCCCATTTCTCCCGTCTCCTAAGCACTTTTTAGAAAAGAGGTTCCAAAGGACTAGAGAATCCTGCTGACCCTTTGATTGGTCCTTCCAGTCGCAGGTGTGCAGAGAGAGTAGCACTGTTTCTGTGAGAATTTATACAATGATCACTCAGCATTTCTCTCAACACTAGAAGTAACCATGAGTTACTTGAAATGACACACCCCCTTTCCCACAGATGGGCCAGAGAAGTATGACATCAATGGAGGTAGGCACTCAGGAGGTATGAACTGTACATGGGGAGACAGGAGCCGGTACTGAAAGGCATATCGAGGTATTTAGAAGTGATAGAGGATGGAGAAGTAGGGGGATGTGGGGAGACTGTGCGTAAAAGATTTAGTATCTCAGCAGTGCTTTCTTGAGATGAAAGGAGTGGTGGTAAACTTTAGCAATTCTCCAGAGTAGGAGACCCAGGCACAGTGTAAGAGGCACTGTGACAGATACCTGATTTCTGAGCTGTGAGGTTTTCTGCTATAACACTGACTGCTTCTTTGGGAGTGAACCTTGGCAGAATTTCTTCCCCTCCCTTTGCCCAGCATTCTAAATTCTAAAGAAAAGCACCTCAGTGATTAAGAAGTTAATTATTAAATAATCTGCTAAAGAATCACCAGAACACCAGAATATCTGTATCTTCAGATAGCACCAGAATGTGTCTCACTTTCTCCAATCCTCAGTTCTTTGCTTCAACTAATGTAAAGCTTATAACTTTTTTGTAAGGTTTAGCTTTCAGAAAAATAATGTTTTTCCAAAGAAATTACAAAAACTCACCACAGGAGGTC